GTGTCTCTTTATCTTTCTCAACATTCCTCCTAGTCTTGTTCTGCTTCTTTTTTCACTGCCAAAAACTCCCTCACCCATCTCTTTTTCTCAAACCAAATCATGGGCTCTAGAATTTCTGTCTCCATGAACTCGGTCACGCAAATTTGCATGCAAACTAATGATGATATTCATCAAAGTGAATCTAAATTTAAGGTTTTTGTATGGGCAATTCCCATTAATTGCACAGTCTGTATGAGACTGAAATAAAGTGTATACGAGTTGCTTCTAAAGTGGGGACTCACAGGAGCCAAATTGAATTCAAATCTGATGCCTAAAACACTCAGTTCTTTACTAAATTGTAACTGCAAATTTGTAAAAAAACTAATAAAACCATACTTATGAAGCCAAAAAATAAAAGGAAGAAAAAAAACTTGAATAGCACTAGAACTCCGTATGCATTCTTTCGTGTTTGTTGCTGCTGTTTTGGTTCTTATGGCGTTGTCGTACGTGTGGACCTCAAAGGATATTGTTGTTTAGCGATTCCAGTACTTTACTGTCTGTACTGATATTAAATAACCGATGATGTTTTGCAAGCCTTTATTATTATATGCTAATTATAAAAGTTAATGTGTGTACCATATAAAAAGTACGTTTTTTTAATGTCCTTCACTTCATCATTCCCACAATATTTCTCTAATTTGATTAAGAGGGCACACTCTAAGACCAATTCAATGGTTAGCATAAGCATAGTTAAAATTCTTGGTAATAATATATATCTTCCTTGTCATAGTATACGAGGGATTCTTTGTGAAGTTACATGAAATAGAAGATAAGATAGAAACTAGTGTTCTTATTCTATCTTATTTGTTTTTTTATATATCTTCACATACTTAAATTTTTTCCATTCATTTGATATTATTATTATTTTTAAAGAAATACAAAAATTTTACTTGTGTGTTATGTATGAATGTTTTCTAAAGTGGACCAATTGACCAACCCATATGCTTAGACATTTTTTTACATTAATGGTGCTTTTACGTTTTTTATTTTATTGGATTGCAGCAGCACATGGAGTGGAGTGGCACAGTTTTCCCTCTCCCACTCATAGAATTCATATATCCCATGTTTCATTGGGATACCTTTATGGGACCCATGTTGGGAATGTCCAAAGAATATGAGAAGAGCTTTATATAAATATATTGAAAATATTGTTCGTGAAAAAACAAAACTGAAGGTGAAAAGAGAAAGAATTAAAAGAAAGGTTGTGCAGTTTTGATGAGTTAATATTCCCTTTTGGGTTTTAATGCGAGTATTGAGTAGAAATAATGACCAAAAGCACATAAAAAGAAAAGTTCAGGGTCTTCTACTTCTATATGCAATCATGGATACCCATGTCACATTGGGTCAGATTAGATCTTATGAGATATCATAATGCAACACTTTCTTCAGCAACCATTACATGTTGCAGACAACACACCATTCACCTTAATTGCTTGCTCTGGAATGGTGAAAGTTGCTTTGTTCTTGAATGCAACAACCAGAGGTTTCACAATTTCTATCAAGACAAACATATTTAAATTATGACGTTTTCTAAAATCATTGATAGTAGAAATTCAGTGATCGATGCAGAAGGAATGGAAAATCATTATGTGTGAGATTAACAGATTTATAAATTAAGATGACCCCACCTCATTCCCAGTCCTTTAAACAAATATTGCTCATACCTAAAGTTAAGTTAAATAACCCCTTTTCAAATTAACAGCTAAACTATTACAGTGATAATAATAATAATAATAAAGAATTTCATTTTATCTACCTTCAGGATAATTTTTACGTTAATAATTTATTTAATAAGCAATGAAAATATGAAAACCTTGTCGTGAATGGCTGTCCAATAATAACAAAAGTTTTTGTATTTTCTTATAGTTCTCAACTTGAAAGACTTCTTTCGAAAAAAATTTAGAAGAAAAAGAATAATAAAATATTTTTTATAAGTTGTTCTTTTACATCATTTAGAATTATCTTATATATTATTCGTAATATTTTTTTACATAAATTTTCTAAATTCTTACTTTTAACTTCTAAATATATTAATTTTATTTTATGAAAAAACTTCTTTTAAGCTATTTAGAAAAAAATTGTCCAAATAAATTCATCACTGATATAGGGATATTAATGGAATTTTGTTCTGTTAACATAGTTATATTTTTTTGACTTAATAACAAAAAAAGATCGGATGTGTCGAATTTATAAAAAAAAAAATTCATCCAAATAAATTTGAATTAGTGCACTTTATACGATTAATTATAACATTTTTGTAAACAAGTGCTAAATATTTGTAGTTGTTTCAAGGATATATTAAATATAAGTTCCACCCTGTGTCAGCGTATTAAAATAACAGGGATTTGATCCGTTATAAGCTTGATTGTAAAATGTACTTTTAAGTAAATTATGTTAAAAATAAATTTATCTTATATAAATAATTTACAAATAAATTTTAAAATATCTTTCAAAACTATTTTTATTCTGTCTTATGTCTTAAATAACAGTCGTTTTAATTATTATACTTTTTTTTTTTTATAGTTTATAGAGTTTTTCTTTCCCTCAAGGTTTGGGATTAACATATTTGAGGTTTTTTTATGTTATTCTCAACTATTTTTTCTTAATGAAAAAATAGATTTTTAATCAAGCTAATATGCAACGTTAGACTTTTTAAAGCCTAGAAATATATATATATATAAACATTCTTAAAGAAAAACAAATAAAAACGTAGATTTCAGTTTTAACTTTTTTTTAATAAATCGATATTATTTAAAATATTTAAAAGTCTCATATGAACTGGTCTATTTCCATTTCTTAAAACTACAAAATATGAAAATTAAGAAAATGATAAACTTAACATGATAAAATAGAAAAAATATTGCATTCCATTATTTTATATATGGTCAACCAAACAAGTTCTGAAGTGCATATATAAATCATCACCCGATTCTTTGTGTGAATATATAAAATTAGAAACAAAAATTTGTATACTGGTATTTTCACACCACAATTTTTACTATAATTTTGATACTATCATTCACTACTCACTCCTTTTTTTTTAAAAAAATATAAAATTTTATTTTTTTAAAACCATTTATGTCAAATAAACTTTTTCCTAAAAATTTATTTTGAACTGTGTACGACAATGTTTAAATTTTCATTTAAATAAAATCCAACATGCATTTACTCCAACATATTTTCTTGTACGTTTTCTCTTTTACAACTCGTGTAACAATTATCAATAAATAATCAAATACAGACCTGGTTCAACAAATTGTCAATTAAAATAAATATTCTTATTTTTACTAATTTATCGCTAACGCATATTTGTAAACGAGAAATATTAAAAAAAAAGGACAATTATTTTCCCTATTTTTCACTAACTGAATATTAATAAAGTACAATAATAAAAAAATTATAAAAACAGTTTTAATATAAAAAATAGTTATTAAATATATGGATAAATGTTTTAAAATATATTAAGAAAAGTTTGGTGAGTCATCATGATTCCTAACGTCATCCAACCGAGATCTCCCTCTGCTCTCTCCATTAATTCAATTTTAGTGGCTCAGTTGGTAGTTGCATCTAATGTTAGGTATAATTGTACCAAAGAAAAAAAACTAAAAATATATATAATTATTTAGGTGATTTTGTTATTAACTTTTAGTTAAGCTTTTAAGTTTAGTTTTGAAAATTTTGGTATCGAAGATTTGTATTTCAAATATCGAATTGGAATTTTCCTCTTGGTATGAGCGTAAAACAAAAAGTAAAGAAAAAACTTTAAAGATCGTAAATAAATTTTGTCCACTCCATCTTGGGTGCATTACAGGACTGCCTGTCTCGTTCTCTCCTTTTTTTTCCTTACTAATATTAAGCATGGTGATAATTACGTGTTGCTTTAATGCTTTAACATCAAATAATTACATTTTTCACACTTTAATAAACTTTTTCCTTTTATCTCATTTTATTATCATTTAAGGTAACGTATGTATTAAAAATTTAATTAAATCAAATTTTATAATATAATAAGGTCGATGATAAAGATTACTTCAATAAATATGTCCCACTTTCTTCAATAAAATAGTATAATCTAACTCAAATAACTTTATTTCATATATGTATAACTGTACTATTAACAATATATTTTCTCGTACATTTATTTCTCGACAGTGTTATTGAGAAAAGAGAGCAAGTGATACTTTCTTATGTTCAAAAGTGACTTAACTAATTTGAGACAAACTAACATTAAATAAGGACAAATAAGATGTGATAGAAGGAGTAATTCGTAACAGCCCAATTATTATTAACTACAAATACGGAACGAAACAATAAATTAATAGTTAAATTTGAGCTTACTTAGGAAATATTAAGTTATCGAAAAATTAAAAAGTAGCGTAAGGCAGTTAATTAAAAGATAAAATTAGCCACTAAGAAGATGAGGGGTTTAAAAAAATATGCATGTGTTAGATTCCTACATAAATGAGATCATTGTTTAAAAAGGTAAAGAAAGTGTTGAAAGTCACTGATAAGGCCAAATTATAATATATAATTGAGGTGCAAACCTCACCTTACAAACCGGTTGTGTGGGTTGAGTTAGGCTTAAAGTACACTTCTAATATGACATCACATCAGAGTTATGGTTAAAGCCTATCCTAACAAGTTTTAAGTAGACATTTCTGTTTCTATTCCACCCATTTAAGCCTAACTCAACTCTAAGAGTTCATAATAACTAGCATTGTCAAATTTGTTACATGAAAATTTCATCACCTATTTAATCAGATTGTTATTTGTATGTTTTGAATAAATAAATGAGATAAATTTTGTGTCATTTTGTAGAGTATTACCATCAGCATTTTGAAAAATGAATTGAAAGAAGGTATAGAAAAGAGTAGAGAAATATGGTGAATTACGTACATAAGATGAAAAACAAGAGTAAAAGAGAAAAAGGAAAGTGAAGAAGGGACAGGGAGCGTAGAATAAAGCAAAAGGGAATGTCTTTCTCAAGCACGGATCCCAATAGAAGGCGGGAAGTATACCTAGCAATGCTTGCTGGAACACATTCTTTTTGTTTAGTTTAAAGCATTTTGCTTTGTTCCATACACATATCTGTCCATTCACACCCTCGTTTATACACGCACAAAAACTCATTTATTTTTACACACTCGGATAGAATTTAGATTTCGCCTATTCAGTTCTGCAACCATCAAAACATAGGTGTATATTTAACAAAGCAAATATCGGTTTCAAGGGGGAGGAAATCATAAGTTAGATATATATAAATATGTGTGTGAATCGTGACATAGTAGTTTATCTGTTTTCCAATGATTGAGTTGTCTTGCCTTAAATCTGCCTACAGTTTCTGTTAGCCAGTGAAGTTAAGTACTCTACTGATACTCAATCAATCTACAAGATCATGAAGCCTGTAGAAAATGGTGAAACCGTTGACATAAACTATCAAAATAGCTGGTTAGGTTTCTCCCTCTCCCCGCAAATGAATATAACTGTTCCTTCACACTCTCATCAAACACACCCTTCATCTGCTGCTGCTGCTGAAACAGTTCCACCAACGTATTACCACCACACACCTCTTCATAACTATGGAATCCTAGGTGAACATGTTGGAATGTTTTCTTCCTTGCCTATCGTGCCCCTTAAATCCAATGTCTCGTTCTATGGAATAGAGGCTATCAGCAGGTCACAAGCACAAGGTTAGTTCCAACTCAAACTTCTGCTTTTTTTGTATGACTGTACTAATTATTCAACTCGTTCAATACTTTTCTTTTATCTATACATTGTGAAGAAATGGCAACTACTTCGGCAATACCTCTGAGCTTGGATAGTATGTTTTACAACCAACTCTCATGTCATGGATCGAACGATCCAAATAACCAAAACCATGTACAAGAGAACATCAGCAAGCAACAGCCACCATATTATTCTTCCTTAAGAAACAACCATGATGTGATTTTAGAAGGGTCTAAGCAGCAACTCCCTTGTATAGCTGAGGATGAAGTTGCTTGTCTGAAAAGTTGGTTCTCGAGGGACTTTCCTGCTTGTCAAGCGCAGGAGTCAAGGATGTTTGTTCCTTTGGAGGATAATGGAAGCAAATCTGGACCCAATATTGGATCAATAACATATGGGGATTTACATTCGTTGAATTTGTCTGTGAGCCCTACCAGACCATCAAGCCGTGTTACAGGTTCGCCTGCCATCAATGATACGAAGAAAAGGGGGCTTGAAATGGTGGACCAGAATCAGAAGAAAATAGTACATAGGAAATCCATAGACACCTTTGGGCAAAGAACATCTCAATATAGAGGTGTAACAAGGTCTGTGCTCCTCTGGTCATTTCTAAATCTTATTAGCGCTTCAGGCACATTTATTTTAAACGATAAGGCTATAATGATATTCTCTAACTTGCTTAATAACTTTTAACTTCTGTTGTGCTCTTTGCTTAAGAAGTTAAGATTTTTGTCAGGTTTCATGCAGGAACAATGCCAACAACATATTTGATTGTTTATTTCCTTGTTATTTTTTGCGTCGATTTCTAAGAATGTTTGTTCATCAGGCATAGGTGGACTGGTAGATATGAAGCTCATCTATGGGACAACAGTTGCAAGAAGGAGGGCCAAGGAAGGAAAGGAAGGCAAGGTAAGAAAGCGACTATTTTCCCATCACTTTACCTTTTTTTCTTTTTCGGTGAATATTTTTGGTCAAACAAATCCATTGACTTCATTTTTATTCCCCTTTGAAAAGCTCTGCATTTAGTGCTGATCCTTTTTTTTTTCTGTCTTTGATTCGATGATGATTCCACTCGAACATGCAATGCATCTCAGTGTATCTGGGTAAGGTTTTCCAACGCCAGAAAATTTAATTTTATTTTTAATATTGTTCTTAAGGATAGATTAACTGGAAGTTTAAGATATCGTTTTTATATCTTGGTCGTGATGATAGCAAAAGAAGAAAAACAATTTAAACAAGTAAATTCCAAAAATTTTATTGTAGGGGGTTATGATATGGAAGAAAAAGCTGCAAGAGCTTACGACATGGCCGCACTCAAGTATTGGGGACCCTCCTCTCATATAAATTTCCCTGTAATGATTACTTTCTTTCTCATTTTTCTTCTGATTGAGGCTGTATTCAGCTACCAGGACTTAATTGACAGTAACTTACGTTATTCTTTAACAGTTGGAAAATTATCAAAACGAACTTGAGGAAATGAAAAACATGACGAGACAAGAATATGTTGCTCATTTACGAAGGTAAAATATCTTTGATATCTGCATCATCTTGAACTGAATTACTAATCCATGTTCACAACCATTACATTCAACTTCCAACCATCAGGAAAAGCAGCGGATTCTCAAGAGGAGCATCCATGTATAGAGGAGTAACAAGGTCTCACAGGCTAGCATTTACATTGTATATGCATTGCAATTTAACTTAATACGATTGAAATCTGAAGAATAATTTACTTTGTTCTAAACTCGGTTCATTATTCTTATTAACTTGGTAGCAGGCACCACCAACATGGAAGGTGGCAAGCTCGAATTGGGAGAGTGGCTGGAAACAAAGATCTATATCTTGGAACCTTCAGTGAGTTCTTTCAAATTATTTG